AAAGATCGAAACGTTGGCACGATAAAGAAAATGTTTTTCTGAAACCTACATCACACCAGACCGCATCTCACGATTTCTGAATAATTATTAATTTTGTTAATGAAATGAAATGAATCTTTTACGTTATGTCTTATCTGTGATGTTGTTGAGTATGTTGGTTTGTCATGTAATTACAAATGAAATTATGGGTCTTAGAGGGTGTTCAGGTTTGTGTTTTTACAGATCCGTATAGTTTCGGGGGCGTTGGTGAATTGTTTTGAAGTGATTTGTAGGTGTTTATGTCAATTTCTTTTTGTTTAAGTGTTTCTTGGAGAATTTTGTTTGTCTGTTTGATGAGAGAAGGGGTAGGGTCTGATTTCATTGTGCTGTATGTGTTTGTATCGTTGATAATTTTGTTAATTTTTTTCCTTGTTCTCTTTTTTGCTGATTGCTACTGTTAGTTTTGTTTTATCAGAAGAAAGAATGAGTATGTCAGGATTATTTTTGAGAACATTTTTGGTTTTGGTGTATGTTTGTTGAGATATGTTGATTTGTAGTGAGGTGTTGTAAGTAATTTGTTATTGTGTTAATATTTTGATCGTGTTATGTCTTTTTCTTCTTCTGTTTTTGTTGACTTTTGGATTGCATAGTCTACATCAGTAATTAATTTAACTGTTGGGAAATCTGTTTTGTTTAAGGAGTTGAATGTTTGGAACCAAGTGATAGGAAGTTCTGGATTTCTGGAGGAATGTTAGATTTGGTTAGGTTTAAAAACCATTTGTTTGTGTTATCATGTCCACATCCTACATGTATTTGTTAAATTTAAACAACGTTTGTAAATCCCAGGCCCTGAAGAAGATCTCAATAAAGATCGAAACGTTGGCACGATGAAGAAAATCTATTTCTGAAACCTACGTCACACCAGATCGCATCTCACGATCTCCGAATAATCATAGACGGTCACTAATCCCCGCACATTTTTCTCCAAGGATAGTGTTTGTCGGTTAAGAATAAATGCGTCGCAATGTGCTTTCCTTAGTCAAACTTAATCTACATGTCAAACACCGGTTCAGTACAAATTATGCAAATTCGTCTTTCTCGGTACCTTTGACGACAAAGCGTATTTGATCTTTTTATATCTACCAATATTGAATATGTGAAAGATACTGAGGAGAAACAAAATGTCATATTTGTCAACTTAAAACCAGCCACCCCCAATCAATTGTTTATAATTAGAGACCAGATTTTGATGCAATACAAATTGCCAAAATATGCCATAAAATATGCAGTTGAAAGCCTTGAAATATGCAATAATATGCAGTATTAATATATTAAAATATGCAATGATATGCAGTAAAACAATTTTTTTACTATCATAGTAACTTTAAACAGAAATATGTAGATATTTAAACGAAATAGATATTAAAACTCTTTAAAACTAAAAATAATTAAAATTCACAAGTATTTAGATGTTATTTACATTTAACAAAAATATTTTCACACTTATATAATTAAATTATATATTTGATACCAATTGAGTATAATTAATGTTAATAAACAAGTGCTTCTCTAAATTGTCTTCGGTGAAATTGTGCCTACGGTCACTTAAAATTTGTGAGAATATTGAATAATTGAAATAAGATCTAAAAAGGGGTTATATATACTTTTGTCGGTATTTCTAGAAACTTTTCTTCCCGTCGTTGCGGCCTGTTTCAGTTTTCTTAGCATTAAACCGACTTTTCTCTCACTTCTTATTTTTACAGGTTTTTTTATGCTTCCCCCCGAAAAGCTATATAATATTTTAAATATTTTGCGCGATAAATGCAATTTTACGTTAAAAAATCCTTCAAATATGCAATTTTTTGCGATATTCTTCAAATATGCAAAAATATGCTCTATAAAATTATGCTCCACGGCATCCTGGATATATGATTCGGATTAGATAATTGATTTCCTCGGTCGTATGCGGTGGCAAACAAAATATGCAACTGCATAAAAATCCGGTCTCCATTTATAACTTAATAGTTTAGTCAGTCAAGTACACAGGTCACAATCCAGTTTCAAATAACGCACAATTATGTAATAATCGTAAATGAGAACGAGATGAAAACCTGCCGCCGCAAAGCTAATCGTGTTTTCAAAACTGAACATGAGGCAGATTCGATAGGTTTGGTCAAAATTATGATAAAAACCTGATAACTGATAAGAAAATTGCTAAAACTGTTATCATACGTGATGGCTTAATATGGTAAGAAATCTCGCAGAAAAACATTATGTGTTGAATTACTGAACTTTATTAACTTTATTTTAATTTTATTTTTTTATAACATCCTACAGTTGTAATTTATTCAGATTATAATCTAAGAACATTATTTGGTATGATAATTAAATTGTGTTTGTCACTATTTCTCACTGTATTATTATGTAGTATTATGTTATTTAATTTATTTTGTTATAACGTCTTAGATAGTTCAACCCATATTTTAGTCTCTAGCGTCTGACAGCCATATAAGGAATCCGTTGGTCAATAATTTGATCCCTAAAGCTCAAATCCATTGTTTTTTTACAATTTTTTAAATAATTCATATATTTTTATATATAAGGTGTACAAATTGAATGGATGAATTTTATTTATTAATTGTGTAAATAATCATCCAGGGTTAGAAAATTTCATATTTGTAGGAGATTTTAATTCAAAAATAGGTGAAGAGTAAATGTTACCTGAGGATATGAATTTTTTTTAATGGCTTTATGTTCGTATTATATGCGTATTCGTTTTGGGGGAGAAGGGTATCATGAAAAAACGGCCAGAGGCGACAGTGGGAATTGGGCCCACGACCGCGGGGTCTACGAGCCGAGAGTCAGATTGAAAGAGAGAGAGAGAGAGAGAGAGAGTGAGAGAGAGAGAGAGAGTGAGAGAGCGGGAGTTGGAAGAGATCTTATGATAAAAATTTTCCGTAACTTAGCAAATTATAATCCACTATTATCGGATTTTTTTATTCGATTGTTCTCAAATAGCTCTTTAATCACAATTTTAATCCGAAAAAAACATAAAGTAGCTAACGTGAGGATTAAGATAACTACTGATAGCAATTGTTTACAAATTAGGCTTATTTTGTAGCAAAAAAACGTTCCTCATTCCAACACTGTATAATATGACATGGTTTCTTAAAGTTTAAATTAAAACGCTGCCTTTACCATCCCTTATCTTTCCTCTTTCTACTATTGAAAGATTGAATAAAATAAAATAATTTTAGTAACAGCAAATACATCAGTACCGATCAATATATCTTAACCTGTCATGAAATAATAAACCGTCGTATTTATTAAAGGCATATTTTAATGTGGGGGACATGGCCAGCGATGGCAGAATGTTTAGGCCGTCTGATGTCCCATGCTAGCGGTCCTGAGTTCGAATCCCGGGAAAGTCCATAGATTTTTCATTGTGTGTAATATGGTGACAATATTGTAAAGTTTTACGTTAAGCCTGTATGATGACAAGAATTATTTTACTTTTTTTACACACTGTAATGCATAAGAAATTAAATAATGAGAGAATCGGTCCTTTTTTAGAATTAGTTTGTATATCGAAGAAATAATTAAGGTTAAAGACTATGAATGGTACAACTACTTTGTCACTAACCAGATTAACAACCGAATTTAGTCGTAACAGTATTGAAAAAATATAAGTATGTACTTATTTTTCTGGATTTCACTAAGGTGTTGTATGTAGAATCATTGTTGATGGAATGGAATTTATATAGTCCAATTTACCTGTATTCGTGTCTTGAGAGTTGCCTCACGTACTTCTCCGGTGGCGTGTCGCTATCGCTGTGCGCTATGGAGACAGACCTGACAGTCGTATGGGACACTGTTGTAGCCGGCATGGTGAACTCGAGGTAGCAATATTTGGCCAACTGGTCCGGAATTTGGTCGTACGAGGTGAGCTGAAGCCTCACGACCAGATTGTGCGTCGTGTAAGCACCTGAACAAAATATTTATCCAATTTTTAATTTGTCTAACTTGATTGAAATAATTCAAATTTTTACCTTGGCCTTCTTTTGGCAATCTAGGCATCCTCCAGACAATAGCGCGGTGTTGGTGTTCGTATTTGGCCTGACCGGACGTCACCTCCATCAGCGAAGGCTCCATATTTTCAATCGCTCCGAGAAATCTTTCAATTCCCTTTACTTTGCCCGTCCTATCACAAAACAACATTCATAAGTTCGTCAAAAATATCAAACATCAATTACACTAAAAAAGCTCAAATTTGATTTAAATTATTTAAAATTTTACATAAGGTACTAAAGTATCACAAAAATTTCCATAAAAAGTTTTTTTTACTTCATTTATACTAGGCTATAATATTGCACTTTTGTACATACCTTTCAATTAATTAAGGTTTTTAGTTGAGACAAAAAAGTCAGTGTAACGAGCGGGATTCGAACCCACGACCTAGACGGCTAGATACGCCGCTACTCTACCACCTGAGCTATCTGACTTCGATCCACTCGGATACTAACCTCCCATCTCAACCCCACCTTTGAATTTTCCCTCCTTTTGCCATTTTTCAATGTCTTGGGTTCGAATGCCGCTAGTGACACTGACTTTTTTATCTCAACTAGAAATCTTAATTAATTGGTCAAGCGGACCACGAAAACTAGTGATTTTAATAAGTTCAAATGAAGTATACTTCACTAAAGCTCTCAGTGGCCAATTCATTTATCGCTGAGAATCAAAAAGATTACATTTTAAAAATGGCAAAACGGAGGGAAAATTCAAAAGGTGGGGTTGAGATGGGAAATCAGTGTCCGAGTGGATCGAGGTCACGATAGGTCAAGTGGTAGAGCAGCGGCGTATCTAGCCGAAGGTCGTGGGTTCGAATCATGCTCGTGACACTGACTTTTTTATCTCAACTAAAAATCTTAATTACTTGAAAGATATTAAATCGTCAAGCGGACCACGAAAACTAGTGAATTTTGTACATTTTTCGTAGACCACGAATTTTATTGAGTTAAACAAAATGATTCTCATAAATTGGTGCGTTAATTTTAACCACTATTATGTGTTTATTTCCAAATTTTTGTTTTTGTTGTTCCAAATTCTGGAAGACAATGGGCAATGCTTCTATAAAACATGAGATTGATTCGTTGAAGGTTCACAGACAAGAATCAGGCCGAGGTATTTCACTCTATTGATTCCTCTTCAAGAAGCACGATCATGAGTCATTAATCGATCTTAAAAAGCGTTTACGGAAACAGTACTTTTTTATTATAATTTTCACCGACTGGAAACCCTTTTAGCCGAGCTATTTTCCGAAAAACTTAACAAAGAATTTTGTCTTATTTTGTTGAAGTGAAGTTAGATGGTGTAGTTCAAATTAAGAGGGATCGTACAAAACCGTCTGATTAAAAAAAAATAAACCGCTAAATTCTTGTTGACTAGCATAAAAAACAAAAAATAATCAGTTAAATTCACTATTTTTCATGGTCCGCTTGACCAATTATTAACATTCAATTAAGGTTTTTAGTTGAGATAAAAAAGTCTGTGTCACGAGCGGGATTCGAACCCACGACCTTCGGCTTGATACGCTTGAGCTATCGTGTCTTCGATCCCCTCGGGCACTAACTTCCCATCTCAAAAAAATTCAAAAGGTGGGGGTTGAGATGGGAAGTTAGTGCCCGAGGGATCGAAGTCACGATAGCTCAAGTGGTAGAGTAGTGGCGTATCAAGCCGAAGGTCGTGGGTTCGAATCCCGCTCGTGACACTGACTTTTTTATCTCAACTTAAAACCTTAATTAATGGAAAATAATCAGTTAGTCAGTTTTTAATTTTCCATATTCCGAGTACTTTTATTTTTAAGACAATTCAATCATTTTAATTAGTTAATAAAATAATAAATCGACGAATTTTTTGAAATAAATTCACTAACTTTAGTTATTTATATTAATTTTAAAAATTGAAAGGAAAAAATTAGTTTTGTTATACCATTTCAGTTTTAAAAATTATTTTATGAATTTTGAATGATCTCCAGTTCGATTACCTCCTGTGTGCCGACTTCACCGAGCCGTATCTGAAGTGTTTTTCAACTCTGAACTGATATATCCAGCATTCCGGAATAGGGATTCTCACCATGACGTCCTCGCAGGGTATCTGGCCAAGTTTCCTGCTGGTGAATCCTGGCACGAGGATGTCTCCGTGTATTTCAACCTGAGAAGAAAAGAAAAAAAATATTTTCCCAAAAGAAATACGACATAGTTCTAGGGGGAAATTCGGATTTAAAGTTTTTTTTTCTATTGGTCCCGTCTCGAAATACGTATATTGTGTGGTGATTAGTGATCGTCAATCGATGATTATACAGAGATCGTGAGATGCGGTCTGGTGTGATGTAGGTTTCAGAAAAACATTTTCTTTATCGTGCCAACGTTTCGATCTTTATTGAGATCATCTTCA